CCTTTGCTGGGCACAGTGCCTCATTCCTGGCATATGCCAGGACTGGTTCTCTGCTCTCTGTCCATGTGGCCCTGCTGGTCCCATTTTGTTGTCTTATATATAGCAAGAGTTCTATTATCATTATAGTGCAAGGATTCCATAGCACCAGTGTTTCATGCCTTGATGGTTTCTCACAGTCAACTCCTCTAAGCACCGCCTCTTCTTGGTCCTTGCAGTAACCAACTGACTCCCTTACTCCAGAGCCCACCAATCCACTCTTTTATACCACTGTTCTTATTTGCTACAGGTGTGGCCTGTTAAGATCAGGCCTGCTTCTAATCTTTAGTAATTGGTCCAGCTGCAACTTGTTGGAGGATAAGATTACATTCTGAACCACCTTCATACTGTACCCTTCTACACTATTTTGGGGGTGCCCTGGAGCCAGGAGCTCCAGCAGGATGGCATTGCCTGTCCAGGCACAGGGCAGGGACAGACCCTGCAGCCCCCACACTGACATGGGAGGGATCTTCCCTGGGCAGTGTCCCAGCACATGTTGCAGCTCTGTCCTGCTCTCACCCAGCTGCCCACAGAGGATGGCACCGTGACAGGAACAGGATCCAGCTCCAGGTTCCAGCAGAGAGAAACCAGTGAGCCAGGAGCATCCTCCACCCCAGCCATCACCTTCCTCATTCAGGAGGTAAGGCAAGGACACAGAGGGAACAGCAGGGATGGAAGGGAATTCCAGGGATGCCATGCTTGTGCCATGGTGAGGGATTGGGGGGCGCAGCTGAGCCACAAGGAAAGCAGCAGGTGTGTGCCAGCACAGAGGGCAGAGGGAGGAGAAGAGGGAGGGCGGGTGGGTGCCTGCAGCCAGGGCAGTGCCCAGGCTGAGCACCCAGGCTGTGCTCTCCTCCTCTGCCAGGCTCTGATCTCCGGAGGCCTCGGGGCTCTGGCCCAGGACTCGTCCTTCCTGGCAGTGACCAGGGATGAGATGGCAGCCAGCAGCCAGCTGCAGGTGGATGAAGTGGAGAAGGCAGCTGTGGAGCTGCTGAAGGGAAGAGAAACACTGCAGGGCACAAGAACTGCCTCTGCCCCTCTGGACACCTCAGCTGTGGCACCAGGCAGATCCCCAGGGCTCGGGGGATCTCCCTCCCAGAAGAACATCACTGCCACTCGCCTCTGAGCTGCCCCTGCAGTGCCAGGGCTGTCTCAGGGCTGCAGGAGCAAAGCCACCCTGTTGCTGCCTCTGCCTGGGCTCCTGAGCTGCTCTGGCCAGCTGTGGTGTCACTTTTGGGACAGGTCTGGGATGCTGGTGCAGAACAGGACAGTGCTGTTCCAGTGGGGTATTGCAAGAGCTGGACAGATCATTAAAGTGTTCCTGGTGTGTGACTCTGGGTGCCCTCCTGTCCTTCCTCTGCCACCCTGCCTGCACAGCCAGCTGTGTCACCAGAGCTGGCAGTGATTCACATGGCAGCTCCAGTCCACTCATTTTGAGGTTGCCAAGCTCTGGGGATCTCCTGAAATCCCAGCAGCTGGACCCTGCATCCTCGTGTCTCTGCTGGAGCCTGCAGCCAAGTCTGGCCTGTGAGGAGGAGATGTGCCAGGGCTGGGCAGCAAAATGGAGCCTGGGGCCTTCTTGGCTCCCTGTCCCAGCTGTGTGTGGAGCTGGGGATGGGGCAGAGGTGTGAAAGCCTCTGGGGCAGCAGCCCTGGGGCTGGCCAAGAGGAGAGCTGGACACTGTGAAGCCATTTCTTCCCCTTCCACCATCTCCACACTGTGCTCTTGGGGTCAGGCATGATCCCTGTCCTTGGGAAGGTCTCGTTCAGCCCTTGCCATCCATCCCACAGCTCAGTGGGGCCAGGAGGGTGTGAGCTGTTCCTGCAGTGCTCCCAGCTCTGCCTGTGCTGGTGCTGAGCAGGCTGCTCCTCTCTGGGCTGCCCAGGGGACCCACAGTGCCCTCCATGGGATTGGGGTGCTGAGCCTGGGGGCAGCCACATCTCCCAGCCCTGGGGCAGCCCCATCTCCCAGCCCAGCTCCTCACTGGGATCTGGCTCCCCAGGGCCCCCAGCCCAGCCTAACTGGGAACTGGGGGGCTCTTGATCACCTAATATATATTAATATATATTAAAATGCCGAGAGTGGATGGGTCCCAGGGGAGGAGCAGATCAATGAGCCAGCCTGCTCCCCAGCAGGGCTTTTATTGACTCAATCAAGGGAACTGCAGAGCTCCAGCTGCAACCTGAGCAGTAGAGCCAGGCTGGTGCCTGCAGCTTCCCCCAGTGCATGCAGGCAGCAGAGATGGGTGGTGTGGGGACACTGCTGCACCCCTTCCTCTTGCTTCTGTGCCCTGGGCCAGGAGCCACCCCCTGACACTCACACATACACACTGATGGAGGAGCACAGGGGCTGGCAGTTCAGCTCTGCCAGGGAATGCCAAGGACACCATGGGGTCAGTGGTTGTGGTCTCCTGGTGGGTTTAGGGAGATGCAGGACTGCAGATATCACTTGCCAAAACACCTGGATGGTCACTGGAGACTCTAAACATAAAGGGTGACACTGTGCTGGGGACAGTAGCACCGTAGTGGGGACAATAGCACTGTAATGGAGACAATAGCACTGTGGTGGGGGTTCTGCACTTCTGGGGCTGCCCAGGGGATGATTTGCTCCATCCCAGGTGTGTGTGGTGTGTCTTTCTTAAGCTGATCCTGGCTGAACTGGGGCACAGATGTGGTTTGTGATGCAGCTGGCATGTGGGTGGGTGTAGGAAGAGAGAAACACCATGGCACAGTCACTGCCCCTCTCTGCCTGGAGATTCTGTGGGGAAGAGTCCAGCCTCAGGAAAACCAGCAGCTCAGGCTGGGAACTGCACCATGCACCAGGAATCCTTGCAAACATGGGACAAGGAAAGAGGAATGAGCACCAGCTCCTCACATCCTTGCAGGAAAGCAGACAGGCCATGTCCTGCTCACCCCCATGGTTTTGTACCAGCACACGGTGTCCTGGGACTTAGCCATGCCAGCTGAGGGGCTCCTGCAGGATGCAGAGTCCTGTGAGGGCATGGCCCACGGTCCTGGCACCTTGGGAGGGACAAACATGGGGATGGGGTGAAGGGACCCAGACTGCAGAGCAAGGGCAGGTGCTGGGCTCTGTGCTGGGCACAGCCCTGCCTCACCAGCCATCAGCCACCAGTGCTGGCATGTCCTGGCTGTCCCTTTCCCAGGATACAGCCTGGGCTCCTCCAAAGAAACCTCTGAGTGCCTCAGTTTGCCCTCGTGCTCCTGACATTAACCCCAACCTGCCGAGCTGGGAGTGCCCTGCAGGTCCCACTCTGCTGGAAGATTCTTCCTCTGCAGAGCCAGGGTCTGGCTGTGTCCAGCTGCCCTCAGCCCCAGCAATGTGAGTGCAGCTCAGGAAAGGCATAACAGGGACTCCTTCAGCTCCTCAGTGCTTGTCATTCTCCAGCCCTGCTCTCTGATGGCCTCTGGATGTGTTTCCCTCCCCAGAGCAGCTCCGAGGATGGAGCTCTGTGGGCACTGCCCTGTGCTGTGTGGGTGCCCAGCCCTGCAGCAGGGACTGAGCACGCTGGGGAGCTCTGCTGGCACCCGACACCATGTTCTCTGAGGATAGACTCTCCACAGCCCGGGACAGCCCAAGGGCTGCCAGGCCCCGGCCCCGGGGCTCTGCCAGGAGCTCCAAGCTCAGCCCTGCCCTGTGTCCTGCTGCTCCGCGGTGTCACCCCCAGCACCAGAGGGGGCAGGATCCGGCAGAGCCGAGGAGGAGCCGGAGCGATGCCGACCAACACGCCGTGCGGTCCGGGGCAGCCCCGGTACAGCCCGGAGCGGCGCTGGCACAGCCCCGGTACGTGCCAGTACATGCCGAGGCATCCCGGTGCATGGCGGTACATCCCAGTAAATCCCGGTACAGCCCAGTACATCCGAGCAGCGCTGGCACAGCCCTGGTAAATCCCGGTACAGCCCGGTACAGCCTGGTATATCCCGGAACGGCGCAGGCGGCAGCGGGGCCGCTGGCCCGGCAGAGGGCAGCAGGGGCTGACGAGTGTGAGTGTGAATGGGAGTGAGCGCGAGCTGTGTCCGTGTGTCCCTGTACTCGTGTGTCTGTGTGTCCCTGTCCGTGTGTCCCTGTGCCCGTGTCTCCCTGTCCCTGTCTGTGTTTCCCTGTGTCTGTGTGTCCGCGTGTCTGTGTCCATGTGTCCCTGTCTCCCTGTCCCTGTGTCCCTGTCCGCGTGTCCCTGTGTCCGTGCGTCCCTGTAGTCGTGTGCCTGTGTGTCCCTGTGTCCATGCCCGTGTCCATGTTCCTGTCCGTGTGTCCCTGTGCCCCTGTGTGTCCGTGTCCGTTTGAGCGTCCGTGTGTCCCTGTCTGTGTGTCCGTGTCAGTGTGACTCTGTCCGTGTGTCTGTGTCCATGTGTCCCTGCGTCCATGCCCGTGTCCATGCCCCGTCCATGTGTCCCTGTGACCCTGTCTGTGTGTGCATGTCCCTGTGAGTGTGTCCGTGTCCTTATGTCCCTGTCTGTCCGTATCAGTGTGTCTGTTATGTGTTCCTGTCCCTGTGACTGCGTGTCCCCATGTCCCTGTCCGCGTGTCTCTGTGTTCGTGTGTCCCTGTCCGTGTGTCCGTGTTCATGTGTCCATGTGTCCCTGTCCGTGTGTCCCTGTGTCCATGTGTCCCTGTCCGTGTGTCCCGATGTCCCTGTGTCCGTGTCCCCGTGTGTCCCTGTGTCCATGTGTCCCTGTCCGTGCGTCCATGTGTCCGTGTGTCCCTGTCCCTGTGTCCGCGTGTCCCTGTGTCTGTGTCCCTGTGTCTGTGTCCGTGTGTCCGTGTGTCCCTGTGTCCCTGTCCGTGTCCCCCTGTGTCCGTGTGTCCGTGTCCCGGCTCCGAGCGGGTTCCCGCGCCCCGCTCCGCGTGCTCGCGGTCCGGCCCTGTGGGCGTGTCCCGGCCCGGCCCCGCCCCGCACCTGGCCCGGCCCCGCCCCCGCCGCGGCCCCGCCCCTCCCGCCCCGCGGATGCTCCGGGGCAGCGGCGGCCGCGGTGCCGTGCGGGGCCATGGCGGCCCCGGACAGCTGCGTGAAGGTGGCCGTGAGGTGAGTGCGGGATCGGCGCTTCCCGCGGGCCGGGCCGCGCGTCCCGGAGCTCGGTGCGCCCGGCAGCGGTTCCGAAAGGCGGGGCGGGCGCGGCAGCGGCGGCAGCGAGGCGGGGGGTGCTGGGTGCCCGCTCGGCTCCGACCCCAGCCCGGGGCAGTGGGACCCCGCCGGGCCGGTCTGTGCCGGACCCCTCCGCTCCCCTCCCTACCCCCTCCGCACCGTTTCGGGGTGTCTCCCCCCTCTCCCACCGGCTCCGGCTCTGCCTTCCCCCCACCCGCCCCCACCGCCGGCGGAGGGCGAGGCCGGGACCCCCGGCTCCTCCACCTGCAGAGCCGGCGGCCACCCAGCCTGGGCAGCTCCCGGCTGCTGCGCGGGTGGCTTTGGCCGTCCGCGGTGTCACCGGGATGCCGGGCATTGTGGGGGCTCCCTGCCCGCCCCCCTCCCTGGGTGGTGGGAAGCGATGCGGTATCGCGGTGTCCTTTGTGCTGGGAACAATGCGCCTGCAGCCCCGCACCTCTCAGAGGAGCTGCAGGCGGCCTCGGAGCCCGCCGGGGCTCGAGGGGCTGCGGAGCTCGGGGGGCGTGGGCCGGGCGAGGCCGAGCCCCGCGGGAGCGGTGACACCCGCCAGTGTCACCCGGTCTTTGTGAGCGCCATGCCCGGCCCGGTGCGGGGCGGCGGGGCTGTGCTGCTCCCGGCCCTTCGGGGGGAAGGATCCCCGCCGAAAGAGGGGATCCCGATCCCACGGAGCGGGACCAGACCCTCTGTCCCGAGGGGGAAGGGACCGGCCGCGGCAGCCGCATTTGCCGGGCCGTGGTGGTGGCGGAGCGGATGGGACCCCGCGGGAGCCCGTCCCGCAGCGGACACACCGTGCTGCCCCCCGCTCTGAGCCCCGCCGGCACGGGCAGGGCGGGCTGGCGGCTGCGGGGGCTCGGGGGGCACTGCCCGCGCCCTGCCCGCTCGGAGCGGGAGCACAAAAGATGCTGCTGGTGCAGCGCAGTGATGGAGGGAGAGCGGTGGGTGTGGGGCTGTGTGTGCGTGTGCACGCGGTTGTGCGGGGCTGTGTGCGTGTGCACGCGTGTGTGTGTGTGTGTGTGTGCACCGCGACACCTCCCCGCTCCCCCTGCCCCTCCATCCTGCTCGCCCTGGCTGCAGCCCCAGGGGATTTTTTGCCGTTCTCCTCTGGAGAGGCCGAGGGTCGAGGCCAGGCTTGGCTGTGAAGGATGGGGGAGCTGCAGGAGTGAGGGCAGCCCCTGCTGCGGCTGCTGGGGTGGCTGCACAGGGCAGGGGGCTGTGCCAGGATAGAGTGGCTGTGCCAGGACACTGACCCGGCAACCGATTAATGCCGACCATGGGGGTGGAGATTTCCTCCTGGCCGGACTCTTCCCGTCTCCATCCTGCATTTCTCTCCAGATGATGCCTTTTAGCAGCATCCTGGCCATGGGGTGGGTGCCCCGCGGCATGGCGGCTGTGGAGTCCTTTCTGCGGGGCTCTCCTGATCCCTCCGGTCCCCTCCAGCCCTGGGCTCCTGGGCTGGCTGGTGCTTGGCTAGGGGACCGCAGTGGGGAGGCGGCTGGGGTGTGCAGCATTGCGGTGGGGCTGGGGCGATCGTGGTGAGGATCCAGGCAGGGGGGAGAGCTCCAGCCCTTTCACACACCTTCCTTGAGCCAACATCCCGCTCAGAGCAGCTGGTGAGCGCTGGGCACACGGCGCGATGTGCTGCTGGAGGTGAGTCGGGAGGACAAAGGAGCAGGGCTGGCAGCGAGGAGGCTGCAAACAAAGCCGTCAGGTTGTGACGCCGTGCAGGAAGGTGGCTCTGATGCTCAGCTGGGTGTGCCGAGGCTGAGCTGCTCTCCCTGCAGACCACCCACCCACCTTTTCTGCCACAGCAGCCCCGGGGGGCTGGGGCTGGGTTCCCTCCTGCCCCAGGCTTGGAGCAGAGCGAGGTTTTCCTTTGTCAGTGCTGGTGACACCCTGCCGGTGGAGCAGCCAGGCTGCAGGATTCTCTAAAAGCCTTGAAGTAAACCTGCCCCAGATCCCACCTCTCTCAGCCATCAGAACACAGAGGAGATTGAATGTTTCTGTGATGCAGCAGGACACGGATCAAAGCTCTCCTTTTGTCCCTTGATAATGACATGAATGGGCCAGCTGTGCTGTTTCTTTGGGGTCTCTGTGTCTTTCTTTGGGGTCTCTGTGTCTGTGCTGCTGGTGGAAGGGAGGTGGGACCTGGGGAAGGGCCAAGGACCCTGGGAAGTGATGGTGGTGTTGCTGGGGGTGATCCAGCTGATGTCAGGAGCTGCCACAGCCATCAGTACCCATCTCTGTGGTCCCAGGATAGGAGGATGGCGACAGTTGGACAGAGACACTGATCTGTGCATCCCAGTTCCTGCTGATTGCCTTGGTCTGGCAGGAGAAGGTGGGAGAGATGCTGTGGTGTTTCACTGTCAGCCTCACAGGCTCCCATCTTCTCCTGGAGACCCTCCTTGCCCCATTTGCTCTCCAAAGAGCCTGGGAGCTGAGCTGTGGGGACCTGGTTTAGGCTTCCCATGTGCTGGGAGGGAAATGGCTGGTACCTGCAGCAGTGCTGCTGTCAGCAGGAGGAGATGCAGGCCCAGCAGCTCCTGCTGACCCAGGGGCTGATTTCTTCCTGTACCTTGTACCTGCAGCTCAGGGCTGCAGTGTCTGCAAGGGCAGGGCTGGATCCTGCCCTGGCCCTCGCCCTCCCTGCCAGCAGGGTCTGCTTTGCTTGTCCCCTAGCCTGGAGTGTGGCTTGTGAGTTTGTCCCTGTGTCTCCTGGGGCAGGTTCTGAGTGTCCCTGTGTCTCCTGGGGCAGGTTCTGAGTGTCCCTGTGTCTCCTGGGGCAGGTTCTGAGTGTGATGGTGTCTCCTGGGGTGGGTTCTGAGTGTGATGGTGTCTCCTGGGGCGGGTTCTGAGTGTGTCTCTGTGTCTCCTGAGGCAGGGAGGAGCTGGCAGAGCCGGGCTGTGCCTCAGCCAGGCCATGCTGGGGTATCAGTGCCTGCAGGGAGCTGCCTCCTGCCATGGTGGTGCAGAGCAGGGCCTGGGGACCAACCCTCCTCAGGCAGCAGCCGCTGCTTCCTCCTTGGAGGTGACCTTCAAATGGGTGCCTGCAATGCAGCAGCTCCCCACTCCTGTCCAGGAGGTTTGGTTTGAGGCTTGGCACAGGAATTTGAGGCCAGTGCCCCTCAGCAGCCCCTGTCCCCTCAGCCTCTCCAGGTGCTGCCAGCTCTGGGAGCCACAGGGCGCCAGGCCGTGGGACTGACTGTGCTGCTTGCAGGAAGCAGAGCTCAGTAGTTCTGCAGTGTCAGGCAGGGCTGATGGCATCTATTGACCCCCAAGCCATTAAACTGCTTGGCTGGAGGCCTGAGTGGCCTGGCTGGCGGCAAAGCTGCTCCCTCAGGGCACCTCCTGAGGGCTGCTTTGAGAGAGAGAGCATCCCCTGTGCCAGAGCTGCCATGGCACTGAGCATGCCTGGCCTGCCGAGGAGACGCAGGAAACGGAGCTTGTGAAATTGGGGAAGGAAGTTGAGTCGTATTTCAAGTTTATTTAAACTCTGCAACCTCCAGTGCTCTGCTGCTCTCGCGGCCGCCCCGCTGCGATGCTCTTTGGCCCTCGCCAGAGCCTGTGTGGGGCTGGTGCCTCGGGGAGGGACTCCCAGCTCTTCCTCAGGGTTACCTTCCCCTCATCCTCATGCACCCTCGGGGAGGGACTCCCAGCTCTTTCTCAGAGTCCCCTTCCCCTCATCTTCATACCCCTCGGGAAGGGACTCTCATCTCCTCAGAGTCCCCTGGCCTCATCCTCACACACACTCAGGGAGGGACTCTCAGCTCCTCCTCAGAGTCCCCCTGCTCTCATCTTCATCCACCCTCCGTCCCCCTCCCCTCATCCTCGTGCACCTTCAGGAAGGGACTCCCAGCTCTTCCTCAGAGTCCCCCTCCCCTTGTCTTCGTCCACCCTCAGGGAGGGACTCCCAGCTCAGAGTCCCCCTGCCCTCATCCTCATCCACCCTCGGGGTGCTTTGGCCAAGAGGCTGAGCTGGCAGAGGCCTGCTGGTGGGATCAGCTGGCTCCAGCCCTGCCAGGGTGCTGGCACCTCTGGTGCCCCATGGCTGGGGCTCTCTGCCTGCTGGGATGCTCTCTGTGAGCCCAGAGTGTCTGCTGCCAACTGGGGTCACTCACTGAGGAAGTGAAGCTGGAGCCCTTCCACATCAGCTGTTCTGGGGTGGATTTGGGCCTAGTGGAAAGGTGGTGTGAACCCAATTTGTGCCACTGTCCAGGGGCTGCAGTGGGCAGAGGGAGGGTGCAGCCCTGGTACCTGCTGCCCTCCATCCCCTCTCTGCTGCTGCTGTGCCTTGGAGCCCTCTGCTGTGGTCTGGGGGGCCCTGGCTCCTGCCAGCTCTGGCTGGTGTTGTCCTGGCTTTGCTCAGCTGTTAGAGGCGTGCAGGGAGAGATAAGGCAATCAATTCCACCCCAAGGCACGGGATGTGACTGTCTCCTGGAGGGGGAGGGGAAGGGGGGAGGGGAGCAGCCCATCGTGGTGCTGGGCACAGCCCTGGGGTGCTCTGTCTGCCATCTACAGGGTCAGGCACAGCCCTGGGGTGCTTTGTCTGCCATCTGCAGGGTCAGGGACAGCCCTGATCCCCTCAGGAAAAGATCCCAGAAGCCTGTTTTATCCTCAGGGTGCTGGGCACAGCCCTGGGGTGCTCTGTCTGCCATCTGCAGGGTCAGGGGATCCCTGATCCACGGAGGGAAGGATTTCAGAAGGGTGCTCTGTCCTCGGGGTGCTGGTCTGGCAAACCACCGCTGTGGGCACCCCAGCCCCTTCCTCTCCACCTTTTGCATCTGCTGAGGGCAGCTCAGCCATGGCAGAGGGCCCTGCCCCATCCCGTGGGTGTTTTGCTGCTGGGTGAAGCCACCCAGACACGCTGCTGCTCTGCTTTCACTTTGGGTTTTGCAGCCTGCTGTGACTCAGGGCTGTGTGTTTGT